TGCTGAGGCTTAACTTGACAGTGGTTTTGCATAATTTATTATGGTAGTTCCATAGAGCCTTGGGAACTGATCTTGATTATTTTAGATTTAAATAAATAAATGATGGATCATGGGACAAACTGGCACTCCATTCCAGGAGATGAACCTGAGGCACATGAAAGGCAGGCTCCCAGCGCCAGAATCAACTGCAGTTTTACAACTATGCTAAGCTATGCAATTATCTTAAACCACAGTGATCCTGTTGGATTTGCAGGCGTAAATTTAGCATCAATCTCCTTACACAAAACAAATAAACAAAATCAGCACTGCATTTTCATGTTAACACAGCACAGCACAGTGCCAGAATGAATTATTGTCTACATTCAGAAGCACTGCTGCTGTGCTGGTTGCCTCACAGATAAATTAAAATGTATAACTCTTTGTCTGAGAAGCTTGTGATTACAGAGCACAGCAATGACCTGTAGAGATTATGACCAGTAAGGTAACTGGGAAGAAACTACAATTGTCTAAAGCAGTGCTGGTTAAGTCAAGCATTTTACCCTGTTGAGGTGTGCAGCCTTGCTGCTTTCATTCATTGTTGGGTGCATTTTTCTATCCGTTCCCTCACCTCTAGCATTCCCAGGGCCAGAAGACAGGACACACCACCACCAAGAGATTTGGGTGGCTAAAGTACTGCAAGCAAAAAAACAACCCAAGGTGCAAAAATCCTGTTAAACCAATGGGGAGAGACACCAGGCAGCAATGCAACAGAGATTAACTATGGCAAGTCAGTAAGCAAGCAAATAAATAAATAAATAACCATTACACATCACTTCCCGGCATGATCATTATCAGACAGAACAGAACTCCTCTGGAGTTTACTTCTCAGTAAGCTGGGCTGGAATCCAGCAGGAGAACAAACTTAGAGGCAGCTTTCATTTAAAAGACAATTTATTTATTGCCAGGCAGAAAATCCCATTAAAAAGAGAAGAATTCCTATGATTGTGCTGCAATATTAATTTTCAAATATTCTGCCAAAAACTTTGGGTGTTTCGCATAAGATGAAACCATAATTCTGGATTAGACCTTGAGTGGGAGTGGAGCACGAGCTGACTTTCCCAGGAGAAGTCCCAGGAGGCAGTTTGACTTGAGACACTTAAGATTCCTTCTCTGCCAGATTTATATATATATTTCTAATCTGGATTAAAATATTTGATGGGAATGTTTGCTCCCCATCTGGGAGAGAGTGTGTGCAATGTTGAATTTGACTCATGTAATTCCTTTTCTGCTCATTTGGTAATACCATTTGGGTGGAATAAGGTGCTGACTCCTGGTATGTTAGTACAGCGAAACAAATGTGGGGCAGGGAGTGGGGCTGAGCACCGGTCCCCAACTCTTCTCTGCTGAAATTTTAGTTTGCTCAAGGTCTGACCAGATCACTCCACTGAATGTTTTCCAAGAGAGAGCCCAGAAGTGCTTCTGGAGAGAATCTTTTCTCAGCAACTCCTGCCAGAATGCATCATGAGTGAACCTGACCTTCCATCATTGAGGAATGTCCTCGTGCCACACACTGATGTGAATAAAACATCCACTTACAGGTTCCTGAAGGGTTGCAGAGCAAACCCTAGATTATTTCATAAAAAAGAAAACAAGGTGAAGTTCCCCAGCCCTGTAAATCATAATTCTGTTGCTGAAGGGCACCAACTGGGTGCCAGAGGACATCCAGAGAGAGGATGGGGTGGAAGTGTTACAAGAGGAACATGTCCTGGGCTGTATGGATGTGAGACAGTCCATGTCATTCAGAGGTAGGGACCAAACCCTCTTTTTTGTTATTTTTAATAGAGTTGATATAGTCTTTGCCATACAGCCTTTCAACCTGAGTTCAGAACTCCAGCTGTCCAGGGAAAAGACCAAATTTTTTTTCCCATGGAGAGCGTTAGGCATGTGTAAATCAGGGCTATGGCCAGAAGCTGGATATCTCAGGTCAGCTTGCAGGTGGAATTGCAAGAAAAACATCTGATAGATCTATTGGATCCTTGCCTTCACAATGTGGTGGATGAGAAATCTTATCTGGAAACTCTCCCACAGAGAAGCTTTCTATATTGTGACATGTAACATTCACCCGAGCTCAAGGAGGAGTCAGTTTTGCAATGTTAATGGAACAAAACATTTTCACCTTGAGCTCTGTGCACGGTGCCACAGCATGGCAGAACCCCTAAAAATGTGTACCTACACAAGCTGTTAGGATTTCCGGTTAAAATTTGTTTCTTCCTTTGCTCTAGGCATGCTGTCAGTTACTGCATCTCAGCTGCTGGCTGGAAGATTCTAGCCAAAGGGAATCTTCTATAAATTGCTGAATTCAATCATACAGCACTCATATGACCATTTCACAAGATATTTTAACTGGAACAAACCCAGCAAGAATAGTCATGTAGAGATGATGAAGCTTCAGCTCTGCAGTGTCATACCCTTTTACTGATGGGAAAGTGCCCAGAAAGATTTTCTTGGGAATTGATTTTCCTCTTTAGTGTTGCTAATAAGAGATGTTGATAATAGAAATTAACCTAGGTATCTCTAAATAAAAATGGCATGCCTCTGCTGTGGTTCACTTGCAGGAAAATGGGTCCAAACCCCTTTCTAGATCTAAGGACTAAAAAAGAAGTACAATATGCAAAATAATTATTATAATCCATAATTTTAACTGAAACAAAGCAGAACAACAAACAATTATGATAGTAGACTGAATTATAAAATGGCAGTATGCCAAGGTGTATATCAGCTGAGTCTTCTTACTTGTCTGTTGGCAAAATAAAGAGGATTAGGGGAATGACTCATCTGTTGATTGGAAAATCTACTTTAAAGTTGCAAGGAAATTCAAACAGCAACATTTAATAAGCAATAACTTAGTGAGCAAAAAGCTTCTGTTCACTTACAGCTGCACTCCCCATCTAAACTAGTGGATGCTTTGGAGCAGCAGAACCATCCCAACTCTGATGTCAACCCCTCATCACCAGCTTGTATCTTCTTGTGTTTGCTCTGGTCATAGTGAGTAGGGTCATATTAGCAAAACAAAATATGTGATCTACTTGCACAGGGGAAAATCCTGTTTTTGCTGTAGCTGTCAGTGACAATTTTATTCCTGGTTGCAGTGCAGTCTGTGTTTTAACCTCTCCTACAAGTTTTATCTCCTCCTATATAAAATCTGAGTTCCACCTACACCAAGCTAAGATTCATAATGCAACTGAAGTTGTGAGTTTAGAACTATTTGTGGCCACCAAAGTGGTGCCTGAGCTGTTGTAAAAGGGAAAAATCATGCTGTTGAAGCTCAGGCTTCAAACCCCCCCCACTCCCCGTTATCAGAGCAGCCAGCAGCTCCCTGCCCTGCAGGCACTGCTGGGGGTCCCAAACGGCGCAGCAGTTCTGGGCAAAGTCACCAGTGCTGGGGAGGTCCTGGCAAACTGCCCGTCCCTCATCTTATCTGCAGCCTGGGCTCATTCAGCCAAGCTGCTGCTTTGTCTTCATCTCACAAAACCCCGATGTCACCAGACACCTCAAGCTTCACTCTGCTCAGCAGCCTGGTGAGGATCTAGGTAACAGGTTTGTGTAAGTGCTATGTGGCTGTGCCTCCACCATGCATAACTGCCCTGTGTTGGTGTTTGGCAAGTGCCATCTGGTTTTCATTTTCTTTCACAGTGTAATTCATCACCTCCACCCCCACAGATTCACAGTGGAACTGCCTTTCTGCTTTCAAGATAATTTCAGCTGCATGTGTTTTGATTTACTTTAGCTAAAACCCAGCAGACACTACCATCAAATCATTCTCCTTTAAATTAAAAGTTACTTGATTTGCAAATTTTAGCAAGATAGGACTACTCAGAAAATCTTAATTGATAAAGAAATAAGGTGCTCAGAACATGAAAGGACATATAACAACTCTGCTCACCATAATCTAGGAAAATACTCTGGAGAATCATTTTAAGCATATTAAAACCCATCAAGAAATAAAAACCATTATTCAAGTAAGAATAATAGTGAGCAATGAGAAGAGCTGTAGAGATGAAAACATCTATTGTAGCTCAGTACAGGAAATTGTTTAACAGTCCTTGCTGTAAGTCAAATCACTATTTCTTTTAAAAAGATTGAAAGCATCTTTCATTAAAAACTAATTTTTTAATCTTATACTTTGAGAGGGAATACTGGCTTGTTCTATTTGTGGATCTGTGTCCAGGCAAGGTCAGCTAAATAAAATTTAAAGCTAAGAAGGAGTAAAAGAGCTGATTACAGAAGTAAGAAAAACAAGTAACTGACAAACCAAGAAGAATGTTTTGTTGTGCATTCTTGAGGCTTCTGGTTAACAGTTTTCTCCCCTCCACTTAGACACATACACTGTAAACACCATCGGACATAGCTGTAAGGAAAAAGATTATTTTCATTCTCAGTAACACTGAAAGCCCACTTCACACTGAAATTTTACGTTTTCCTCAGCTATGTCTTAGGGATCACTGGCATTGTGTGTCAGTGATTGCAAACAGGTTTGCCCGGTCAAAGGCCCATTGTCAGAAAACAGTACTGTACATGTACATATGCACATTTAATACCTTGTTAAATCTACTAACTCAAGCAGGCAAAAGCCTAGGAAGTGTCAGAGTTAATGTATCTGCCCTTTCCCCACATGCATCATGGCTATAATCTTTAATGCCATGATCACCAATTTATTTTCCCCCCAGGGGCTCCTGTCTCATTCAGTGTTCTCTCCTGGGTGGTCCTCCTCCAGCTTCCCCTTCCTTGGACATCTCCAGGCCCACTGCACAGACATACATCCACATATTTTCCACAGGAATAACAAGTGGAAATATCTCATGCAGAGGACATGACCTTCTCTTAATTTAAAGCCATATTTAGTAGGAAGGTATTAGAGCTTCTGTCTGTTTTAAAATTCTTCTAAATAAGTGGAAAACAATATACTTTCTTAGGAGTCACTGATTTAAGCTGAAGAAAAAGAAATCCATTGCATGGGTGACTTCAGCCTGAATAGTTTAACTTTAGAGATCAAAAGTAAACAATGTCTAATAAAGGCGAATGTTGGAAGGTTTTGCCTAGGTGACATGACTTGCTTTATTGATCATTCAGCTCATATTTTGATAAACCCACTACCGTCCTGGGAGTTTCCTCAAGAGCCTTGTTGAAGAAGAGGAACAGGACACCAGAGGTTAGGGTCTGAGACTGGGCTCCAAGTAAAACATCTGCAGAAAAAACAGGAGAAGTGTCCAGGGCTGGTTCTGTTCTCTCTTCCCTTCTATTCCCTCAGGGGTGGTGTGTGGGTGAGGGTGTTGCTGCAAAGCACCCCTTGATGGGCACCTGGAGACCTCTCCAGGCTGGAGGAAGAGTGGTCAGCCTCCCCTTGTGTTTCATTCCCTTTCTTTGCAGAGCAAGCAAGAAAGCAAAAAGTAAGGGACCAACACAAAACATCAGGTTTGCTTTCACCCACTTAAAAAACTAAGGCCAGGCAATCAAACCAACTGCAGCAGCTAAAATAGTCTTATCCCAGAACAGGAATGAAGCAACCCAATCCCATTTGTCCCACAGTTTCTGGGTTGCCAGTATTGCTTCAATTTTACCATTCATCCCTCCCCCACTGCATCTGATTATCTGTATAAAAGGCTAATAAATTCTCTGCTGAATTTCAAAAAGCAGCAGTGTTTGCATTTTGAACACCCAGCCATGCAGGATTCAGCCCATTTAATTATTTCACTTCAGAGGATGTACCTGGTTTTGTCACTCACCCTCAGTGAGGAGGCATGGGCTAGTGAGGGATGGGCAGTGGGATTATCAGTCACTTGGCCTGCTGGTGTTTATTTAAATGTTACCAATTGCCACTCCTGATTTGGGGTCTAATTTACACTTCAGATTCGAGACTGCTATTCTAGGGATAGCTCTATCCTGGTGCACCAGGAACCACATTCAGTTTGTCTAGGCTTGCATAAATCTGTGCCTAACAAAAAGGATACATTTCCAGCCTGTGTCATTGACTTGTACTTCCATGAAATGCCACTGTGTTCCACTTAAGTTTTGAATGTTTTGTTTACTTGGATTCACCTCTAACCACATTGCAGTGAAAAAGAAATTCTTCCATGGTCTAAGAGGCATGTTTATAATAAAACTTTTTAGAAGGTGCTCATAATTTCCTCTCTATTAATTTTCTCACTGCTTAATTTTCTGCAGTGTTCTTATGTCATGCCCTCTTGGCAACATGCAGGCTTTTATCTCATGTATTGTGCAGTGCTAAGTGCTGTTTCTTTTTCTTCTGAAATTACACAGGGCTTGAGATTTTTAGATCAAACTGCAAATGTTTCTTCTCTGATAAAGATTTTGGGTCAAGCAGCTATTATTACTTTCTTATACTAGCTAAAATTTCTCCCAAGCAGAAGAGTGAAAACTAAGGATGTAATAAAATCCATTAAAGCTCATATGTTGTAATTATTACAGTGAATTAGATTGGTGCAATAGCATTCCTCGGGACACCTGAGCTGGTCTAACGGATCCCTCACACCAAACCAGACCTCCTTTTGAAAAGATGGAAGTTTCAGATTGTCTTGCTGAATTATATATTGCTTTTCTTTAACACCAGCCCATTTCCTTGGGGAAGGCCTCAAGGGCAAGGGCTGTCTCTGTACAGAGCAAGCACAAGAGGGAACTTCTGCTGATGCTGGGTGGCTTAGGCAGTTTCATTATAGAAGCATTTGCTACCACTCTCCTCTCCCAGCATGCCTTGGACCCAGACTAGATCAATAAAAATTAAATTAAAATAGCATACATATGTATTAATGTTAGATTATATATACTGCATCTGCCGCTCACCTCTCCTGATATATTATCTGTATACCTGAGTGTGTGTGTGTTTGTGTTAAGGATACATACAGCATGCAATCCATACAATCTGAAATTTGTTACAGCATCTTGAGCAAGTTGAAATTTGCTGGGGAAATTTATATCCTTTACTATACCTAGTGAGAAAGCTGATTAAAAAAAAAGAAAGTTACATAAGGCCTTGCATACTCAAAGGCTTTTAAACTGCCACAAATGTGCTAACAAGAGATAATATTTCTTCTTGCAAAAGTTGTGTCTGCAGATCATGACAGGTTGTGCATTGGGAGTGTGATTGCTTCCCGTGTTGGAGAAGGAGGGTGCTGCTCAGAGAGCAGCCATGGTGACTGAAGGGTGCCCTGATTCCATGCAGGACAGGAAGGGCACAGGGAGAAGCAGATGGGGCACACCAGACCTTACATGGCTGCTCTGCAGAGCTGCATGGGTTTCACAGCACCTGGCAACCTTCTGGTGGACTCTTGGTGGCCAGCTCTGACTTAGAGGTGGCCTCTCCTACAGTGCTAGCAAATCTGCCTTTTTAGGTAAGCTGTGCCTTTCTTTGCAATGCTTGGTTTGAAAAAAAAGAGACTTTTTTAACATAAGCCACTCCAGAGCTGTCAGGCTTCCTGGTGTGCAATCCGTCCTCCTCTCCTGTGCATTGCTGGGGCATTGTGTGCAGCGAAGAAGACTTGTGCACTGCCAAAATCTGTGTGAGGGTGGAGGAATTGTGACTGGAAAGCAGCAGGCCAGAGAGAAGGTAAGTACCTGGTGGGAGCTCCCTTTGCAGCTAGGTGAGCTCTGGAGGTAGATCATCATGGGTCAGACCATCAGACTTAACTGTAAAGAAGATAGCAAATTGAATCTATTAATAATAATATTTTTTAATTCAATTTAGTTTGATTCATTAAAAATTAAATAAATTCATTTAATTTTAGTTTAATTCATAAAAGATGTTTGGTAAATATTTTTTGTAGCCTCCTGACTCAACTGTCTGAGAAAGAAGGACGTCTATGACAAGGAGATTGGGCAAAATGAAAATTAGGAGGTGTCTGCTGCACCATGCATCCCTGTTAGAAGACTGGCAAGCATTTTCAAATCAATTGAAAGTCATCCCAAATATTTTTACCTCCTCCAGCTTAATGTCTGAAATATGATTTAAACTTTCTTTCTGTTTTCATCTGGTAGCATCATCCATCACAAAACCTTGTTAAAGCAACAGCTTGGAGGCAAATCATGGCAATCCTTAGTTATAATTAAATGTCCTGCTCTTATAACAATTTTCTAGTTTTCCTTACTAAAAGCTCTGAAATTAGACTGGGTATAAAGTAAGATGGGGCAAGCCTTATTACAGAGCTAGTGTGGACTCTGCTAGGGAGAATCCCTCCCCTCTCCTTCCCCCTGACATCCAGGTCTCCTTAATTGATTAAAGACTTTTTTCCACTGTAAGATTTGTACACATGTTGAAGCACAAGCCTCTAGTATGATTCCTTTCTCTTTTACAGCATCCCTGTAGAGAGCATTATGGGTATTTGCTTGCAGACCAGTCACCCACTGCATGAACATTGCAGTGGGAGGCCTCATTTGGGAGCCAAGGGTCATCTTCTGCCTGCTTGTTCCAGCTACACCAATGCACACAAGATAAACCAGCACAACCATCAGCATTGTGTCTTGGCCAGAAATCATTAAAATGTTTAAAGAGCACCTTCATTTGAATGCCAACATTTTTCAAGGGCTCCAATCTTTGAACAAAAATTAGCTTGTGCTACCTTGTGTTTGTGTTAGACCATGAGAGATGATGTGTTACCAAAAAAAAAAATTATTTTTTTTTTTATATTTTAGTACCTGATGCAGAGAGTATAGGGCTTTTTGTCTATGGACAGGTGGCACAGGCAGCCAGAGCATGACCCTTGGGAGGAACATCAAAGGTGATCAGACTGGAATGAGGGCAACTCTGATCCCTTTGCTGAAACTTCTGATTTTCAGTAAGACAAAGTAACTGACTTTGTGACTGTATGTCTTATTCATGAATTACCTTCACCACTAAAAGCTTAGATATTTGCAGTCTTCTCTTCCTTTCAACCTAACCTCTCCTGCATAACAGACACCACGTATCCCTGCCCATCTGTATCCTCCACCCCACTGTGGCATGCCATCCGTCTGTACATCCTCACCGAGCTCTGAAGCCAAACCAGTTCACAGCAGCAGCTATAGGGAAAGGCACACTCATGCAGAGGCCTTTTGTGATGAAATGCTGAAAACACTCCACACAGCAGCTGCATATAGTCATGGTTTTTTTTTTAAGACTTTTCTTCCCCTGCTCTATTTTTATGTCTGCTTTAGCTTTCCTGAGGTTAGAAGGGGGAAGAAGAGGCAGAATTGCCTGTACTGTTCCCAATGAGCATGCACTAGGAATTCACATATTGCATTGCAAAGCTTTCTGTTTGATCAGCTGGTACTTTCCTAGTCCTGTTCACATTCTCTTTGTTTCCTGACTGCTGCCGAGTTTGGAAGCTGATATTTTAATATAATCATCTTTTATGAGCTGGAATAATTTCCTGAATGACAGTATATATTAAAGCTATCACAGTGTATAAAATTGGACTTTTTTTTACTAATTGTACCTGATTTTATATTTATCAGTGTTATATTTCTTTTGCTATTTTATTGCCCATTCAATCTCATGATATTGTGCAACACTTTGCAGCTTTTGTCTTTAGTCTCAAGCCTGAGTTTCTTAGTATTGTTAGTAAATTCTGTCCCTGACTCTCCAAATTAATTTCCAGAACATTTTTCAATAGATTGACCAGCACAGAACCAGTATTTAACTTCATTTATAATATTTTGTCTTCCACAATTAGCCCTTCTTTTTCATTTCACACAATTGGACACTTGGCATGAGACGTTGCTAAAAGCCCTTTTAAGATTTAAGCAAACTTTATTAGCCAGATCATCCTGACATACATGCTTAGAGATTCTTCCAAAGACTTATAATAGATTTCATGGTTACATATCCAATAGAGTACTCTTCCATTATGGTTTATGTCAATTGGCAAGGTACAGCCATCAATTCTTTTGAACCTCTGCAGAAATCTCACACACAGGTGTGGTGGGGATTTTTTTGTTGTTGTTGTTTGTTTGTGTGTGTGGTGGATTTTTTCTTTCTTTGAACCATATTTGCCACTTTTTCTCTCCTGTGATACTAATGCAGTTCTAAGCACAATTACTATTTCAGAAATCTCCTAAAAATACTTAATGACTGTAATGAACTGACCACCTGCTAGTAACTTATCAGATTGTTTCAATTAGACATTTACTGACACTTAAATTCAGCCAGATCTTCTGATTAAGACTCTGTCAAAAATGTTAGCAGCATGAAAATTTTGCTAAGCACTTCAACAGCAAAGAGTGATAATAAACTCTGTATCCATTCTGGTCTATTCTTACACGTTTACACCTTGACCATGTAGTCACCCAAACTCTCTGACAACTGTCAGAGACAGTATTGTACTGAGAGTTAGTAGCAGGAATAAATTCAGCCTCATCAAATTGTGTGGGGGATAGCATTACTCCTGTACAGCACACAGATAGGTTTAGTGCTGGCAATCTAATATCCAGACTTCCTGTAGCACAGTAAAAATTCTTCTGCATTTGTTTGTTTTTATTAAAAAGTGCTACAAAACCATTTTGAAATTAAAGCCTTATCAGTTTGCCATTGCAAGTCAAGTTTTCCAATCTATACGGTTTAGATAAGGAGCAGAGGAAGAGATGACTCAGTCATCATCTGTAAATGACTCCATGGGTGATAAGAAAAAACGCCATATTAAATCTCTTAGCTACCTAGAAACAGAACACAGGGTGTTGAAGACAAATTAATCCAGATTAAATATAAAGCCTCCTCTTCATAATGTTTATTGACTGCTAGGAAGAATTTAAGTATACAGACTCTTCAAGAGATTAAAGAGATTTCTCAAGTCTTAATTTGTTTGTAAGAGATCCCTCCACAGCTGAAACTGAATCACCAGGCTTATTCCTGCTGTAACTGGGCAGTATTATTCACCTCTGTTTTGCAGATCCAGTTGCACAATTACATGCATTATCCTCAGATTTGAAACATGTGATACTATGATAAAGAATGTCTATTCAATATCTCATTTGTATCAATGTTACCTTGACTTTAATGCAGTAACAAATCATCCTGTGTGCATCAGTTCATATCCTCCTACTTTAAAATTTCATATAAGCAACACGAATTTAATGTTTTATGAACACTGAAAGACTGAATGATTCAACTATATTGAATCATTTACCTGAAGAAAAGCCTGTGTTCTAACCATTTTTATGGCAACTACTGGAAAATACAATTTTTGCAGACACAATCTCCCAAAGGAGTGGAATAAAATAGCAATACAAAACTGAGCAAGATTTTTTTTTTAAAAAGGCTGAGAAAGGAGAGGTAGAATAAAATTGGTGAATGAGATAAAGTAAGTTTAACTCTAATCTCAGAGTCACCTCTGTAGGGAAACATACTGGCATCACTCTCGTGGTATAATTATTCTGCTGCAGTTATACAGTTAACAGTTATACTGTTATAAATAACTATGTTTCCAAAGCAACGTATCACTATTAATTCAATTGAAACCAAGGATGTAAGGACTACAAGAATCAATTCACAATATCCAGTTGCCTCTGGACACTTAATTACTGATTTTTTTCCCCATAGGAAAACCATGGAAATAAAAGATGGACATAAATCCAGTAATAATGGGGCAAAATTACCATGATTCTATGATCAGCTTATGCTTAAAGCGGTCTATTTTGAAAAGAGAAAGGAAGTCTGGAGTAATTCATTATCTTTGTTGGCTTACTGAAAACGTTCAGGAAGCACCAGCTGTAGGTCTGTCCCCACATGGAGTCCCCCAAGCATCAGCAGGGGTTTGGTGCCCTCTTACGTTGGGTACAGGCAATTCGAGTGACTGCAAACACTTGTGCCTGATGGATCTGGCTGATGGATCACCTGAGAAGGCTTCTCGGGATACAAATCGTTAGGAAAGTAAGTGCTAACTGAGATAAGTGACTACTGAATGCTTCAAAAAGGTTAATAACCTTTAATAAGGCGGAGAACTTACCACAGAGACAGTGAACTCCCAGCAATGAACATACTTTTGTACCCTCCCCTTCAGCTTTTATTGAGGTGCTCAGCCTCACTGACCTGGTCTTGCATAGCACAAACCTGACTCAGGCTTTTTCTGTTTTGGCTAAATATTGTTAATAAATTTCTGACTGAGAACACACACACAAAAAAAGGCTGTTGAGCATCACAAAACAATCCTGAATAATGGGGCACTGTCACAGGTTCCCCAATGAAGTTGTGGATGCCCCATCTCTGGAAGTGCTCAAGCTGTGGTTGGATGATCTGAGCACCCTGATGTAGTGCAAAGTTCCCTGCCTATGGCAGAGGGGTTAGAACCACATGATCTTGAAGGTCTTTTCCAGCCCAAATCATTCTATGGTTCTGTGCAGAGAGAGGACTATGTGATCTGGTCTTCATTTCCTGGAAACACAACCAGTTAACAACCTGGGTACTTATCAAAAAAAAGGCCTGAAAAACTGGAGACATTAAAATAGAGGGTATTTTTATTTCCATTAGTTGAATACTCCAGTGATTACTGTTCACACCTAAAAGCTGGCACTGATTACCTAAAATTAGATTTCTGGACAATTTTTTGCAATCACCTTAGGTTTCTCTCTTACCTAGTTAACACTGCAGTATGTTACTTTATTTCTTGTGCAAGTATTTCTAATCCATAGAGAATCCTTCTTGGTCTTCTAAAAACTAGACAGACTGCTCAGTAAATCTTTTCTGAAAATACAACCTGATTTGGTATAAGAAGTGTTTTGTTAGTTACTTTTTAATTTCCCTATTTATTCGCATCATAAGGGTATACAGTTAAATTTTTTTTTAACTTGGCACTTATGTAACTCATCATTCCATTTTACTAATTACTCAGAAGGAAACATATGAGAGATATTTACGTCTCTGTGTTGATACATAAATTAGAATGCAAAAGAGATTGGCCATAGAAATAGTGATGTATAAAGATAACATGTAATTTTAGATTACATTTAAATGTTGGTATCAGAAATTATTAAATACCTTATTTAAGTGCTGAAGGCCCTGTATTTAGAAGAGTAATCCATTACAATGGAATTTATTTATATTAGTACAGAAATAAAACACCCAAGAGTTTAATAATGCGAAACTCTCAATTTATTTTATCAAGTTCTCCTGCTATGCATTTCTTCAGAAATCAGTTTCAAGGTGATACATAAGAAAACATTCAGAGAATTAGCAAGTTAGTGCACAAAATCATTTTCTCAGTCTGGTCATAGACACAGAGATAAAATAGAGTCTAAGCATCTCATAATTATTAATAATAAGCATCCCTTGTCATCACAGATACCCAAATACCTAGCAGCAAGGCACATTTTGGCACCTTGGCCTATTTCAGTAAAGCCACACAAAACTGGATGGATGCTTCCCATTTCTTGGAGGCAAAAGCTCATAGAAAAGAGCTGAGAGCAGATCCATGCAGCAAGCAGGAACTTGTACAATTAAGTTATTTGTCAACATCCAAAAGTGCAGTACATTGCTTTACTGAACACAAAATCATGTTCCCAGAGAGCTTGGAGTTCTATTTTCAAATGAATGTGACGAAGGAAAAATAAATAAGGAGAGGATGTAGTGAAGTAAGATGGGTATGCCTGGACCCCCTACACACCAAGATATGCTCAATTCATGATTTTATAGTAAAATTTTATAAAATAAACCCACCTTGTGTAGACAAGAAATAGCTAAATTGCACACAGAGCAGAGATCCCTGAGCTAGTCAAAAACTAGTTAGAAAAGCCACACAACACACTGTGTGGACATATTCACATAGGTCTAGAGAAAGTACTGCTACTTTTTCAGCAAATAAATATTGCTCACTAGCTCCCATTCAAGACCACACGAGTGATGGACCATATTTGCTAGTATATAACCTTGAAGTTCTGCTTCTAAGGCTTGAGTGAGGGCAGCCCCAGCCCCAGGTGGGATCTGGTCTTATTGTTGTGGATGTAGCCAACAACAAAACTTTCACATTTAGTGCATTAATATCAAATAGTGCTGAAATCAAGGCAGTCAGGCTCCGCAGCTGAGTGACTTTTGGAGAAAGTATGAATCTGACTTTTCTGAACAGCTTTTCCATCTGCTGACTCACAAGTTTGTGATCATAGGTTGAAACCTACCAAATTAAGTAGCATTTGCTTTTGACAACATTCATTGAAGTCGTATTTCCCATCAGTACAATTCCATTTCCCATATTCCCTTTCTAAGAAAGTAGAAAAAAATGACCTCTCTTAGCTGGTAATTAGCATTAAAATAATCCACACAGTAGAATAAACATGCGGAAACCGCAAAAATGCTCTCATATTTTTCCAAGAGCTAGGAAATACAGCATGTGGATCCAGTTTTACCATGGCAATCAGTTATCTCATTTCTGCCATGCCATCTTCCCCATCCCATTTTTCCCATACCTGGTTCCCTCTATGCTATAAAGTGAACTTAAAATCTTGTAAAGAAAGGAGAACCACTTTGTTCTGGGAATGGAGAGGCAGGATTTTTTAGGACAGAGCTTAGAGACATCTGCTACAATATAGTGTAAGAAACTTAACTCGAACACATTAATGAAGTTGATGAAGCCTGAGTTCTGGAAATAAATTAAAACAGATGCTTTGCTGTTAACTGACAGAGCTTCAATTAAATCAGAAGAAAATCATATGTCTCCCAGTCCCTACTGCTGATTAAGACTTTCCTAGCAAATTGCAATTTGTTTTCCTTGAGGAACTTACACGACTTGAACCTCAATATGTTCCACTATGAAATCTTATGGAACTGAAAACTCATGCTGATATAAATCAAATAAGGTTAAGAACTAATTTAGTTAAGAATCAGTACTTGGCTGCTGTGCAGATACTTTTAATTTAGTTTGAAGTGTCTAATATCAATTTAGCTCAAGCTTATTACAGACTTTATGGCTTTAGCTAGAGCTGAAAACAGATTTCAATACTTATGTCATTAACCACCTAAGGCCAGTACTGACACCAATATCCAGCAGCATCTAATTTAACATTGTGACACATCCTTATAGTCTCTGTTGGACAGTATCAGCACAACCATTCAGAAAACAAAGTGAAGAAACATTGAAATTAAATGCTCTTCTCTCAGGAAATAATTTATAAAATTTCTTTCAGACATTTCTAACCATTTAACAACACAGGCTAAGCAGAGCCCCAAGTTGACTCTATATATTTAAGATGAACAGTTGTGTTTGTAAAGTTTTATATAATAAAATTAAAATGCTTATCATTTTACAATTGGAACAAAACTCAAAGCCACCATATCGTTACTTAAACAAGTAACAGCTCAACACCAAGAATTTCTCCAGAACAGCTAGGACAGAGTCTTAGTTCTACAGTTCTGGGAGCACCTGTGCAGTTCTGTGCTTGTCTAAGGAAACACAATCCATAAAGAACTCAAGGAAATGTGGTCATAGGTCTTAAATGTCACACAGCTTGTGCCATAGCAGTTGTGGGAAACCATCAGCTTAAGGGTACATATTTTTGTACTTGCTGGGCTCCAATCTCTGCAACATAGACTGCTCCACTCCTCATGTCTACATCCACAAGGTGTGGTTTGGTTTCATCAGCCAGCTGGATCCTGTGGACTATGGCACAGTCCCCAATGGAGCCGACCGGAGGTGCTGCCAAGATTGCCAACCGGTTGATATTCAGCTGAGCTACAATCAGGTATTTGTAATCGGCAGTAAACCTGGGAAAGATATACATATTTTTGAACTCCATATGACATCTCATTTTATCACAAACAAAACCTCTTTAACAACCACAGTTCTGAAGGCTATGACTGACAAAATGCAATGTAACATTGGGAATTAAGTTGTAAGCTTTGCTCTTCGTATGGCTGCTCACGGAGACATACTATGCTACAGAAAACTTGATCAACAAAATCTTTCTTCCTGTAAAAGCTGGAACATAGTAAGGTTAATAACATAACAACTTTAAAGTGAAGCTCCTCATCCTGCAATCAAATCTACATGGCTTGCTATAAAGCCAGGATTTCCCTGTTAAGATGCAACTGTGCAGATCTTCACATATGTTAGGACACCCAGCACCTTATTTCACTGGTTAACTCCTTGTCAGCAGGCATTAAATGTCAACATTTTAATTCACCAGTAAAAGTATGCCTTACTTATGTAATTGTGTGCTTCTAGAACTGTTCAACAATACCTGACAGAATAGGGTCCATCTTCTGAAAAACAGCCATTCCAAGACCCAAGCCATTCTCCCGTGACTTTATCAAAAACTTGGATTCTCTTGTTGTCTCTGTCTGCAACCCATACCTATCAAAAAGAAAAATCATGGCCGTTAACAAAGAGAACAAATTAAATGCATTTGTTTCTTATAAGAGCAAAGTTCCCTGTACTAAAAATGGAAGACTGTACCCTGGAAGAATGCATACCTTCCCATTCAAAACTAAACCAACAGATCTGACTGCCAGATATAAACCAAATCTGACCTACAGTTAACATACACAAATTATTTTATACTACTTTAACAGAGAAATAAGTGCCTTCTCTTCTTTTTTGTTGTGGCTATATGATCTACTTGGCAGGATTTTTATCCCCACAATGAAGACATATTTCCACCTATTAAATTCTGAAGATCTGTCTAGAGGTCTGTCACCTGTATTTTTTTTCCAATGGCAGTCTCATTTAATGATCATGATCTGCAAACACTCCTGACATGCCTAATACTACTACAAATATTTAGCCATTTAAACACTTAGAGCATGTTTAGCTGGTTTTGTCTAACCAGTTTTGTC